TTTTTTTTTTTTTTTTTTTTTATAATGGGGGGAGGAGGGGGTCTATCCTTTGAAATGCCACATTTGTCAGTGTATGATATTAATTAATGTGTCACGGAAACATTCAGGAATTCATCTGGCTTTTGGTCTGCTTTTTCTCCAATCGTAAATGGTCTAAAAACACACACACACACACACACACATAACACACACACATACGCACAACATGAAGTCCAAATGTGTATTGCATTTTTAATAACATGGAGTTCTTTGAAAAGTGGCATTAATGTAAGAATGTGTTTACTATTGTGGGTGTAGTTTACACAATGGTACCTCTTTGGTGCGTATTTAAAAAGAAAAAAATAAGATAATTATTGTCTTCTAGTTGTAGTTATCTGGGGGGGAAAAAGTTTACCGTGTCTTCATCTTCACACAATTGTAAGGATAACACAGGGTCACCAGTCTTCATATTTGGCCATGAACTGGATTTTTTTACGTGATTACTTGTACTAATTTCCATTGCTATTGCTGTTGTATTTCTACTCGATTTGAATATTTTCTACACGGGGGGATGTTCATATATGGTAGTTTGGGTTTTAGGTTCCTTTGTAAGAGGTATTTAATTAACACTTGCTCCAAATATTTATTTTCTGAAGATTGAATAGGTTTTAGTCTTTCAAACTGTCTCTTAAATTACATTCCAGTATTAGTCCAAATGTCTAATCAAGCCATAACGGGGGAATATGTACGTTTCCAATCAACTGGATCAGAATTTGTTTACAAGCTCGGCTGGATGCATGTGGCCAGCAATTGTTTTCAGCGTTGTTGCAATGATATACTGTACTGTAATATGTAGTTTCTTGTGCTACTACTCAGATGTGATACATTGTGATTTTCGACTGAGGTTGGTTTTTCATATGGTGGGAGGGTGTTTTATGGTTAAAAAGGGTCATGTTTGTTATTTTTTCAAAAATTGTCTTAACATTAAAATTCACTCCTCATTCTGGCTGATGGTTATATCACCAATGGTGCGAATTTGCTTTATTGTCAACCTTTTGTACGCTTTACATCACATATTAAAAGACAAATTTCCTCTGATAAAAATATTGAAATCTAATCGTGTAAAAACTGGTCTTGTTTGTGTATTACAGTAAATTTCGTAGGAAATCTGTCTTTTTAAAATGTGTTAATTTTCGTATGATGTAGCCTGTGTACAAGGTGTTTTTAGGTTTCCTTTTTAAGGGTTACCATTATCATGTAACCTTTTAAATCACAGTAACATCAAAAATAGTATTTAAAAAATACACTCGCAAAACTTGAAAATATTATTTATTTTATATTGTAAATTATTTACATTGCACTTTTCACAGAGAGGATTTTAAGAAGGGCTTCACATACCGGTACTGTAGTTGTACAGTAATACATGAAAAAATATAAAAATCAAAATTTACATTTTACAGTTAACACAGGGAAAAATCCTCATCAAAATAAATATAACTTTAATAAATACTATTTTTTTGTGCACAAGTTAGTCTTTAAGGCGCGTGCCAAGTAATTTGTCACACTCCGATTTTAAAGTACGTTATGGGGGG